TAAAACTCTTTTGTACAAGTGTATTTTAATGCCTGCTTTTTATAGCATACTTTACAATAGTACGTAATGATAGAAAAATGACCGGCTTGCACACCGATCCGCACGTATACGTTACATCAACGATGGCGTACAACGACGAACTAATCACAGGCCGCACACATGCGCCCCAAGTGGGCCTTAACAGCGCCACGAAAGCGCCATAGAATAGTAGATTAGCAGATGAACGGATATTGGACAGATGGAGTTTTTTTACTTATCGTAGGCGCAAAGCGCGAACATTCTTTATAGATGCTTATTAGTGATTAGCATCAAAAGGGTTGATCTTAGACAATTAATAAAGGTGAACTCTTTTTGTAACTTTGAATTTTTCTTCCATAGACAATTTGAGAAATTTCTCGCAATGATTAACTTGTTGATTCGCCTTACAACATGCGCAAGAGAGATTGGAAGGAGCAATATTTGTAACTGAGGTGTTTTTGGACTTACTGACTTGCTTATAAACAGTATTATTTGTTTGATTGCTAGGAACCCTACTTTGTATGGATTCTAACGCTTGTCATCGCTTTGACAAAAAATCCATTTCTAGATCAGGTATATTCGCATCGATAATATTAGTTTTCCACGCCTTATTGGTGGACGTCAAGTTTGGAAATAATTATGTGGATACTTACATCGTCCCACGATTCGGTAGGTCTCTTGAGAGCCTTGAGGGCACGCAGCTGTTTGAGAATGGTATCTAGTAGTTCTCTGAGAGAGCTATATGATTTTCCTTGTGGATAGCAGGTACATCAAATATTGCCCGAATATGCCTTTGAACGATCCATCTCTTGTTGTCAAACCTCTCTTTCGCTGCTGTCCATGCGTCGTGATAGTTGTCAGTCGTGGTCTCTATAGACTGTATTATCTCTGCAGCCTTATCCTTTAATGAAGACCGGAGATAATGGAATTTCTCTTTAGTCAAACCTTCATTTAAATGGATTAGCTTTTCGAAGGTGTCCTGGTAAGAATAACAATCCTCGTAGGAACCTGAAAAAATTAGTAAATTATTTTGGGCAGCCTAACACGCGTTTCTCTTTCTCTCGTATTGACTGCGTGATCATTGTTGGAACGGAAAGAAGTTTGAATTGTGTTTTGATTAAACTGCTCAATTACCATTTCATAATTATTATTAACTAAAACTAAATAATACTGCGTATTATTAACTGAAAATAAGAATTATCGAAACTTGCTCGATGTTGTGATTGCTGTTCACGAAGAACATCTTTGTCAATATTTGCTGGATCCATAAATCTTTTAACTTTTTTTCTTACGCTCTTTAATCTCATACCGCGATCCTTGATTTGGGTCAAAATTTTTTATGAAAGTTTTTAGCCTTGTGACTGCTGCCCGTATTTGAGCTCTTTTGGCTTTTCCGTTAAGGTTAACGCGTTCATTGCTGAGATTCTCGTGTGAGATAACGACTTAATTGCTTGGTAGAAAATGCAACGAGCTCTTGCGAATAAAGTTAATAATTCTAAATTTGATTTCGTTTGATTGTGATTTATTGGCCACTCGTTACACAATAGCAAACTTAGCCCGAATAAGTGTTAGTATAGGAAATGATAAGAGTTGAATATATACGTTAGTGTGATGATTACTTACAGCCTTTTTCGTTATCTTTTATGCTTATGCATTAACCTATACCTGATCGACATCTGATTAGTCTGCGATACCTGTGTATCTGTATGTATCCATGTCCTCGGTATTCTCTGTGTCCTCTCAATTTTCTATCCGATTCGAAGGACCAATGTTTTTTATGCGGATTGAGGCGTGGTGTCCCTTACGTTACGTGAAATGCACCTTTTCTCTTATCAAATGCCTTGTGACTTGTACTGCGTGGTACACGATTGTAAATGATATGAATGTTGCTTGTTCAGAATCCTGCTTTATTTGTCTTGTACAAAAACGAACTTACTATGCTCGCTTGGGTGAGAAGATACGCAGGGAAAAAGAAAAATGTCGTTTCCCTATTGAGGAACGAAACAGAACAGAACGAATGATGTCCAGCGAAGACATGCATGCTCGCAGATGCGCGAAGGTGATCGAGTCGCTCACGATAATCTGGGGGTTGCACGGCGAATTCCGGTGGTGAGGGAAAGCGCAATAGACTACAGCGCGGTTAGGGATAGTTGCGTAGAGGCGGATTTACCAAATCTGCATCGGTGCGAGATAAAAATTGTTTTAAATTATTGACACAACGTGTACAATACCTACATCATATATACATATAATTTAAAGAAACGGTTTTAAATTGACAAAATTCAATATTTTTTTAATCAATAAAATTTAAATTTAAAGTTTGGCAGAGAAAAAGGAAAGAAATTTTTTTTTAATGACAAGTAATATCTTTGATTTTTATTTGTTCATTATTATAGTTTTCAAAAATACTTATTTTTCCTGTAAAATAAAAACGCTTAAATGTTAGGGATATACTCTCAGACACAGGTATAAACGATTAGAGTCTTTATTTCACGTGTACAAAGAGTCGGGCACATCGAATCAATTCATCGGCACAACTCTATTACCATACCGCTCAGTTGAACTTTTTCGAAAGACTACGTTTGTAAAAGCCTCGCATTTTGCCCGGAAACGAAATGAAATAATAATACATGTGGTATTAACGACTCAACCGCGTAATTCGAATGGGTGGATAACTAATTACTTAAGAAAGTGCTATTATCTTTATTATTTACTTAAGTGGTATTATCATTTGTATAAACGATTTCCATCAGATTAATTACGTATTAAAAATGTGGTTTTATATTTTTTTTATTCGGCAGTATAATAATTTATAATTAGGGAAACATTTGTTTTTATTTAAATTTGATTTTTATTTAACACTTAAAAAATTATTTTATCAAGTTACACATTTTACTTTATCTACCTAACATTATCTATTCACATATTTCATTCTTTTTACGCAAAGTGCACATTCGCGGCGGACTGCTACTTACAGAGAAATTATACTCGCGTCCAAATGTGCTGTAAAGAAAAAGTGTTAAAGATTAATTATTAAATTGTGTAATAACAAAAATTAATCTTAATACGTTTATTGTATTTCTTTAAATTATATTAATAATACAATGATAACGTAAGGATTTTACAAATTTGCTGAGGTTTATAAAACGTACATAGTGTCCATCTCTAACTTTATACATTTTTATTCATCTTATCTCTGTCCTTATTCCATAGATTGCAACAGGAAAACATAGGACATTGTAGTATTCACGAACTATTAATGAAAGTGAAATAATTAGATTAATAAGTAAGAAATATGTAATTGTATATATTATTAGCCAATATAAAAATTTTTCTAAATCTTGCAAAAAAAATAAAATTGATAAAAATTCAAAGAAATCAATTTTACAGATAAAAAGATTTTGTAATAAAACAAAATAATGAGTATTTTAAAATATGTCATTATATTGTTTTATCTAAATTCTCTTTACTTCTAATATAAATGGCATAAAAGAAACTTTAACGTGCCATTTCTCGCTTGTAATATCACGATCCAATATGACCGCGACTATTAGTCAGGAGTTTTATTGAAAAGTAAATTATTTTATAGGGGTTCGGCTTGACAAAAAGAGTCAACAATTGAACATTATTATAATTGAACATTAATCTTAAAAAAATTTAAGTTTAATATAGGATAGTCGAAAAAGTTGATTATAGAAATTATCGAAAAAAAATTTCAGTTGTACATAAAGATTTTTAAGGTATACGAAGAATTAAATTACTAATTTTTATTTTCAATATTGTTTAAGCACTATAAACACAAACAATGTTAATATTTATTTGATAATAAGTAGGGTTTTGAATAGAATTAGTCAGAATAATTTTTGATCTCTGCATTACTATTGTCTAATTTTTTAAAAGAGTAAAACAATTCTCAAAATAATTATTGTTGAGTTTATATCTACGCACAATCAAAGGAATAGGGAACAAGAAATTGAGAATAAGAATTTCATCCTATCAGAAATCATACACTGTGGAATACACAATTTCCAATAGATTAAAGTTCTTATTCTCTGTTTCCTGTTTTCTATTCCTTAAATTGTGCGCAGCCCCTTTCTTGAAAACGAACGCAGATACCAAAAAATATTTACAATAAAAGCTATTTGTCTTGAATTTTTATACAAAAAAGATGTCATAAATATACTTTTGCATAACTTCTCTTTACTACTACTATAGTATTTCCCTGGAGAATTTTTTGTGTACGTTTCTTTTCAAGAATAAAGGCCTTAGAAATATATATAATTTATAGTGATTATTATCATAGAGTGATACAAATTGAAAATCCTCAATACGTTATACTGATTCAGATTATACTACTACCTTATATGACGGTCAAAATATTTTATTACTCTATACCTGTCGAATTTTTTATATAGAACTATACTTTCATATAGAACTATCAAGTGGCATGGTTCGTTTTTTTTGTACGCTTATAGGCTATTTGGACTAATTCCGTTTAAATTTGATTAAATTTTTCCAGCACGTCATACATTGTAATTATAATAATAAAACATGTGGAAATAATTTTTTTTCAACTTTAACTGAAAATTTCTCAAAATTGTGACGTAATAGAGCATTTTGAAAATGAGAATCATATTCAGTCTAAAGACTACAGGAAGTAAATAATCCTATTCTGATATTTTTTTTATTGAATTGTATTGTAATAAATACTTACATTGGTAAACATGGTTACATTGACGGGAGAAAAAACTGCATTTATAGTCATTGGCTTTTGCATCAACATCAAAATAATATTTGTTCTTACGTGACAATCAAGATTAGAATTGAGCCATCTGCTAAAGTATATTGCTTTACGAAATTCCTCGCCCTAAATACATGTCAAGAATGGTCAATTTTGAGTTACATTTATTGTTTTACTGCTCCGTTAAATTTATAATATCAAATTTAATCCAGTGTGTGTTGCCATTGTACTACTAAATATATCATTATTGTACTAAAACAATAATTAAATTTAACACTACAACATATTAATTTGATATTACATAGTGTTAAATATAACTATTGTTCTAGTATAATATAATAATATTATTGAGTAGGTGCAGTGGCGATTTACATTAGATTAAATCTAACACTACAGATTTAATAGTGTAGATTACAAAAACTTACCGCATTTGTGAGAAAAGTACCATACCATGTGTACATAAATGTTTGAAGCAGTTTTACTCCAGCGTATGACACAGATGAGGAAACGGTTTCAAAATTAATGACCGATAACTGTTGCAAATATTTAACGATTAAGATTATGTCAGTGACTATTTGTGTAATGCAATACCATTTACGTAGTGAAAAACTTTCAAGCACTGCGCAGTCTTTGATTCTATATTTTGTGACAGATTACGACTGCACATAGTGGACTAGATAACAAAATTAAATCTCAATATGTTACGTTAATGTGTTTACATACTGATGTGAAATCGTATATCAAAAAACAAAGAAGCACGGCATTGCTGACAATATGCCAAAAGATGATTGGTCCATAAAGGTGCTCCAACGTGTTACGACATTGCAGTAGCTTCTGATGTTTGACTGCGCACGTTCTCAAGAGATCCGAAAATTTCTCAGTGGACAGAGGATTTGTAAGAGCGAACATCATAGCGCGTATTGTTGAACTGATCTGATAAACATAGAAGCCAAAAGCGCTGTCGACACCGCACGCCATCATGCAGCTGAGTGCTATTAGACCTGTTTCGTATAACATATGTATATGATATAAAAAATTGTCAGGAATAGTCCAGAACCATCCGAATCCCCTGCTGAGTGGTAGGGTATAGTTCGTGGGTAAATGAAAATAAAGAAGATTTTGTATTACATAAATATATGAAGATTTAGAATATGCGACTAAGATTCCTGTTAAAAAGACGAAATATATGTATGCTAGAGTAGATATTGCGCGCAGGGACGAAAATATTATTGTCTGCGCTTTTTCGTTCTGTATAAGTTCCTCCTCGAAAAGATCATTCAATGTCCGATGATAATTTATCAGAGTGTTGCGATTCATTTTGAAACTTAGCATCTTAAATAAAACAAGAGATATGTATTTCTTCTAGTGCGAAAAATAGAAATTAGATATTGACACGTAATATGTTTAATATTCGAATTTTTCAAATCAAAATTTTTTTCTATCTTTAAAAAACATTACGAAAGAATAATATTTTTATTGAAATGGTATTTATAAAAAGATTAATCGATTAGCTAAATATGCTTATTCCTTTTTTACAAATGGTTTCTATTGTAAATTTTTTTTTCGATTTTTGTTTGATTTTAAATCGAGTTCATTCTTTAATAAATGTTAATATGTGTACATGAAAACATGTAAAGAAATCATTTTTTAAATTAATTGACAAATATAATTTTGTAATCTGTGTTAGATTCATTGAATTAATCATATTAATCATATTACGTGTATAATAATGTTCTTATAAATTAATTTATTTATATTTTATTACATGTAAAATATTTTTTTTGTTTTTTTTTATGTAATAAAATATTATTTCTTTCTAGACACAGTTACCTTAATAATGGCACCAAATCCTGATAGGGCTATTCCAACGAATTTCACCATGATCTTCATGTTATGTCTGATGATATAGCTTATATGCAAGTTCAGCATTGTGTAAATAATCATTGATAAGAACACACAAATTGACCAATAATACATTAATCTGTCGGATTTTGTGGGCATGTACCAACAACCATTGATGATAAGCGAAGTTCGAAAGAAACGTTTATACGTGCGGTACTCTTTTAATCGTTTATCAATCATCTTAATACCTGCATCAGGTATACATATAACTCAAAGGGAAGCGCTCTAAATTGACAAACCCAATGTTTTTTAAATATCAGTGAAATTGAAGTTTTGGAGTTTAAATTGACACAGAAAAAATTTGAATTTTTTAATAAGAAGAAATATCTTTGTGATTTTTATTTTTTGAATATATGTTTGTTATTAATACTGATTTTTCCTGTGGCTTTAATAATAATTGCAATAATAGTAATTACATTTAAATCTCTTTAATCATATTCGAAGTATAATTAGACATATCCAATAATGTTAACATTCCGAATCTGCGTGTTTATAAAAACTGAGATGAATGCATTCTTTATACTTATAATTAATAGTAAGTCACATTATAATATTATAATTTTACGACCCTTATTGTTACAGACAATTAGAATAATTTATTTCAAACGTTTAAAAAAATGATAAATTTAAAAACTGTTATTTTGTATAAAATTTAAATAAACACGTATGTCATGTTGACCGTTGCGTAATGTCTGATGTTCAAAAAAAAATTTGTATGTTAGAAGGCTTTCAAATGTCTCTGGAAGTGTTTATGGTAGGTAGAATACGACGATTTTACTACTAATCATGCAATGTTAAAGGAAAGATTTTACCTTCTACCTTGCCAAGTCAAATCTAAACTGTTGAAGGATTGTAACTTGCATTATCATTGCTTTCAAGTTTCTTTTCATTGACTGTCATTCGCATTGTAGATCTGTCGAGAATTTGAAAAATTAATGGCTAATTTTGTGGTCAATTTAATATATCATTCGATAGAATTGTTTGAAATGGAATATAATTTAGGTTTCTTAGAACTATAGACGAATTATAAACATAAGGAAAATTACACTTCAAAGAGAATGAAAAGGTGGATCTGCCAGACTATATGGGTTGCACTGCAAAACGCATAAAGATAAGGGGTTATTTCTTCTTATTAAGGACAGATTTACAATTCTCTTTTCTTATATAAGCCAAGAAAGCTATTTTATTGATCATAAAGCTGTTAGTATACAGTTGTTGACTATACGCAAGAATATTGATACTTATACACTTAGGGCTCTGGTAGAGTGAAGCTATAAGTAGAAGAGATCTGAATAAAAGAGGTTCCGTTCAGTTACCTATACTTGGCAGTTTATCTTTTTGATATGTATATATTATTGATATATATTTTTTTATATGTTTTGCTGAATTAAATACAGCTTAATAATCTTATTAAACATGTGTGCACACGCTATATTGATCGATGATTATAATTTTTTATAAATTTATCTTTTTTATAACAAAGAGATTACCGATTATCTTTATTTCTGAGACAAAGTAGTTTACACTGTCGATCGAAACATTGTTGTATCATTAGCAACGTGTATATTGATGCTTACATAATTTGAAGCTATGAGCATATATCTTTTCAAAAAAGGGTTCTGTTTACCTGCTCGATACTTCTTTCATTAATATGTTTACGGTATTGACATATTTTTCCTTTACTTATATTACTTAAGTGTACGACTTAATAGCCTTTTTATTATATTATATATATAATAATGCATTTATATGAAATATTGCGTTTATATAATAAATGCAATAATTAGGAAAGTTGTAACACCATCTTATTTAAATATAGATTAAAGTACATTACATATACATTAAGAATATAACAGTAAACAGTATAATACGAACTTATACCATTGAGAATAAATCTGATTAAATACAAAAATTCCTATATTTGATCAAAGCAGGATTTTAATACTTAAATATTTCTGTGCAAATTTATATACATATCTGATTTTACATACTGCGCTGAAATTTTTTTTGATGTTGAAACGCCATCATGAGCAGAATTAAAGTAGTAATATCACTGAAATTCCAGATTTAAATCCTGCCTGAGACATCATTTTTGCAATAAATTATTTACAGATTTTAAGATTTTTATCTAATAATTAATAACATTGTCTAAAGATGCTTTTCAGCATAAAAGAGAATTATTAAATATTTACTTATTAATTAAATAAAATGATACTACTCTGATTATGCTTTTGATGGTATTTTAAAGTATATTATTGAAAAATCAACTTATAATATTTCATATTTTATGTCGGTTTACCTCTTTGTCTTCCAGAGAATTATCATAAAATTTTATAATCGTACTTTTATATTTTTATGCACAGAATTATAAGTTAATATGTAAAAGAAATTGATCTCTGTCGGCTTGTAGACGAAGACTTGAGATAAGAGTCTTTCTCTATTCTTCTATTCTTACACAGGTAATTTCTTCTCATTGGTCTTTTTATCAAAACCACTGATACCTGAAAATAAAGAACAATACATAAAATCGATTAACAAACGCAAATCTTCATTCTGCGTGTGCGAACTACGTTTTGCGATTTGCGAATTATGTAGAAGCATCTTTATGTGCATCACTGATGATTGTACAAAGTACAGAATGGTGAAGAAGAATTGCAATTTTCGTTGAATACCATACATCGCCAGCGCTTCTTATGCCATCATCACTTTAGTGCTTTTTGT